CAAGACAGAACTATGTTCCTGGCCACGACCGGACAAACCGTGGTCCCGTGTTCATGTTGACTTCGCTGGACCGTTCAATAGTATGCATTTCTTAATATGTGTCGACGCGTTTTCCAAATGGCCAGAGATATTTCCTATGCATTCTGCCACATCAATTGCAACAGTGTCCCTCCTACGTCAACTATTACTGAACGTTTCGTCGACACCTTTAAGCGTGCTTATTCAAAAGCGAAGGGGGAGGGAACAACAGAAAAAATTTTGGATAAATTCTTGCTGCATTATCGTACAAATGAAAAAGGACAGTTATGTGGCAGACATACAGATCACGCTCTATCCAGTACCACGCAAAGGTCAACTCGACAAAGAAGAGCTCCGAAACCTTTGCAAATACATCCAAAAAGCAAGTCCTACACTCTTTACGGGGGGAGGTGATAGGATCCCACATATTTTGGTATTGACTGTCTAAACTTGCATTTATGGTATGTTATCATTCTCACGCATTTTGGTAGTGACTGCTAATTTTGTATATCATCATTCTCACGCATTTTGGTAGTGACTGCTAATTTTGTATATATGGTATATTACCATTCCCACACATTTTGTTACTGACTGTCAATGTCGCACATATGGCATATTAGCATTTCTCACACACTTTGTTATTGGCTATTAAGGTCAATTATTTCAAATGCTGTTAGCTGTCCATATTGTTGTAAAATGTATAAATACCATGGCTTTCTTTATCGTTGTTGCACTTCAATACACAGTCACAGTCCAGCCTTTGTCTTTTGATATTTGCGTGCTTTACCAAGTCGGAAGGTACGACGAGCAGATAGACAGATTATTTCAGGCGCAGACAGAATAAGGTGAAAACGTCTTCATTCAACTCCCTACCGTTATAACAAATTGGCGACGGGGTTTATTTTAATTCAGTGCAGTTATAACAGATATCGGTAGCTCAAATTTCGCAGGCCGACCATAGATATCAGGTGTGCGTCGGCGGGGGATCGAATCTCGGACCATGTGCATGGTGGGCGAGAGTCCTAATCATTGTGCCACCTCCGTCTTGTCTATATTCCCATGGAGTCCTGTTCTGTCTTTGTTGCTTCTTCGACCAGTTTGTCGGTTTTCACTTGTAACTCTTCGATTTTGTGTGACATCGAACATAAATCATCCACGCGTGAAATCCAGGTCTTCTAGGTTCTTCACATCGTTCCAAGATATCCTTGTCTTTTTGTTTCCCACTGTCTGACGCATAATCCAGTCAGTCCACCACAATTAGGAATATCATTGGTGATAATACGTACCCTTGTCTGACTCCTGTGTATACTCAGACAAATTTTTTTGATTGGTTGGAGGATTTCATCATGTGTTGACATCATTTAGAGAACTACTGGAAAATTTGGGAGTATACTGGACAACTGTTTCTTCCTGGTTTTGGACTCTTCAGCAGTGGGTACCCACCACCAGGGTTCGAAACCAAAACCTTCTGGTCACAAGGTGAGCTAGTAGACGATCAAATCACTGGGACTCGATCCAGTGGCCCGTGTATTCTAACTTCTGCCAACTTATGACATAGCGCGACCACTTCGTAATGTCTTCTTCAATGGGTTACTGCCTCATTGAATCGGATCCCAGTGGCTTAATCGTCTACGTGCTCATCTTGTAACCAGAAGGTCCTGGGTTCAAACCCCGGTGAGTGTGCTGCTGATGAAGAGTCCCAAACTAGGACGAAATAGCTGTCCAGTACTCCCTGGCTTTCAATGATTCTCTAACTGATGTCAATCCTTGGTCAAAATTGGAAAACAGACCAATTCCCTACAAACCAACTCTTGTAAACAATATTGTTCGCTTATATATCGTTTTCTAATCTCAACAATTGGAATATTTACAGACTAGAATTGTGTTACACAGAGTATATTTTCTATTTACATTTGACTAGATGTGAGCTTTACTTACTTGTACCAAGGTTGATGGTATTACTCGTTTGCTCGGGCTGTAGCAAATGAAGAGGGATTCGAACCCTATTGGGTTTTCCACTTCTCATTCCTGAGTGGAATAACGTTAGCTCATTGAAATATTTTAAATATTTAATTTCATACATTTGGTTCTCTTGATAAATTTTGATCGAGAAAGAATGACCGAATTTACGGTATAAAATAAAATCATCATTCTATTTCACAGGTTCTCATCAGCTGTTGCATCCCACTACCTGAAATTACAATGGTTATAATTAATGACATTTCATACTTCAATGTTTGAAAGGTTATATATATATATATATATATATATATATATATATATATATATATATATATATATATATATATATATATACTTAGGTCAAGTTAAAAGGACATATTGAAAATCAAAATAACAACGAAGACCAACAAAACCAAATAAGGGAGGTAATAGTACATATACCCTGGCTGGCATCAAAACAAAGTTTACTAAGTAAGATAGGTCTAATGTGATGACGAATTGTTTTTGAACGCACAAAAATGGTTTAAACTTTAGGATACACCCCAAACACGTTTTATATATAGGTTTAAAAGATGTGTTAACGTCAATTTTATGTCCTGTCTCTATAACATGTTTCGCAATAGAGGAGCTAGGTCTCTTGTTGTCACCAATAATGGGTTCTGGAGATTCTGTTTGTTTCTGGAGCCATTTAGGAATATGCTCTGAAGCCATCCCTTACTTGCAGAGATCGATGAGTCCTCCCTATGTGTGTATATGTCCACACGTACATTCAAATTGGTATATACAGTGGGATGTAACATCATTCTTTTTCGCATGTTCAAAGGGCTTAGATGGTGGATATATTGGCTTCACATTCTCAATTATTATGATATTAGCTGCATAAAAAGTCTTTTTAACAGCGGCGTTCAATCTTTGTCTAGTTATCAAGCTGTTATGATACGCCACATAGAGTAGCTTGATATTTGTTCTTTGTATTTGTGTGTTTGTTATGTAGCAACTTATATAAATTGTGGGATAACATTTCTGTTGTCTGCATCTCTCTCTTCTGCTATCTTTCATCGATCTAAATCTACTCAATGAAACTGTTTTTCACTGTATTGCAGTTTATAGAAAGCGAGCATTTTTATTCCACGTATTTTCCTAATGTACACATTTAAATTCAATATAAACAAAGTTATTTATTTTACACTATTTATGTGTACTAACTTGTGTCTAGTTTTTGAGAAATTGATTTGTCTCTTTCTTTAAGTAATTTGATGGATGGTGAAATCTAGGATGAGCATTTCATCCTGTTTGGGACTCGCGTGCTGGCTTTATCTACATTCCTCAATGAGTGATGGACGACAATCTCAATGAGACTGGAACCCAGTACTCATGGATAGGTGGGAAAAGATAGCGATTGAAACGTTCACCCCCACCCCAAAAGTATGGTGGAGGTATGTAGATGACACATTCACTGTACTTAGAACACAAGATATAGATAGATTTTTCGAGCACATCAACTCGAAGGTAGAGGCAATTCAATTCACTTATGAATTGGAAAGTCAGGAAGGGGAACTTCCAATGTTAGATTGCAACGTAAAAAGGAAAGAAGATGGGAAGCTAAACACTAGTGTTTACAGAAAACCCACACATTCAAGCAGATATTTGGATTTCCGATCATCCCATCCTATGTCAGTAAAAATAGGATTAGTGAAATGTTTAAATGACAGAGCACAAAAACTAAGTAGTACCAAGGAAAATCTAAGACAGGAAGTGACACACATAAAAGAAGCCTTGAAACTTAATAATTACCCGGATAAATTAGTCAAGAAATATGTAAGTAAATGTAAAAATAAAATAAATAATGGTAATAGTGATAGTAATGATAATAATAATAGTGATAATAATATTAATGACGACACCAACAATAAGGAATCTAAATCATCAACAATAATTCCATACAAAGAAGGAACCTCGGAAGCCTTACGCAGAATTCTTAACAAGGCAGGAATAAAAGTGGCTGACAGTCAAACCAACCACAAACTCAATTAGAAACAAGCTTTGTCGGTTAAAGGATCCTGTAGAGCCATTAAAACAAAACAATTTAGTTTATCTAATACCCTGCAATGATTGTGAGGTCAAATACATAGGTCAAACTAGTAGAACAGGGGCAGTCAGGGTTAGTAAAAAGACTAGGTGAATTGTGTCCATCAATTTCGGTATGAAGATAGCTGTCTTTGAAACTAAGAGTTAGTTGCACTCTGTTGTGATGAGTTGGTAGAAGGCGTTTGCTAAATTAGTTTGCTTTTGCACTAGTTCCTCTCATATTGATAGTGATAATGAAATTATAAATATTTCTATGTCTTAGTAGTATGTGCAAGGTTGTAGAAGATTTAAGTCTAATCTGCAATGGAACAATCATGACAAACCTTCTGAATATCTCACCACATACTGTGTGCTTCTAGTTTCCAGTTAGCACCAAAATATCTCTTTAGGGGAGGAGATATGGCCGGTTGGTTTTAACACTTGAAATTCAGCCAATGAGTCCCAGTTTCGAATACACCTTGGCAACTCTGTGTAGTACTATCCCCCTTCTCACACAGTAAGTGTGGCCCGTCATGTTGTTCCATAGAACTGAGTTTTCAGCGGCTGAACAGCCTATGAGCTCGTCTTGTAATTGGAAGGTCCTTGGTTCGCACCCACCGGGTGGGTGCACACTGGTGAAGAGTTCGAAACTAAGACGAAACACCTGTCCAGTACTGTCTGCAGGCTTTCCAATGGTTCGCTCGTGATCAAACCTGTTGCCAGGAAAAAAATAAATTTGGCTCTTTTGGTTATCGTCACTTAGTTGAAGTCAAAATTCATTCTTCATTGTATTCATAGTTCCAGTCTGTTGGAGGTCAGGTAAAACATCTCATCTTCTTTTTGAATTAAGTTTATTAATCACATTTTGATATCTTTTTTTTTCATGGACATACAGAAATTAATTGTTGTCTTTCATTATTATTCTATCATATTTTCTTTACTATTATTTTCAGTTTTTCAAGTATTCTACACAACTTTATTCGGTATGTACTCTGGTTTCCTAATGCTGAGAACTGGTAAGTGTTGTCTTTTTTGTATCAATATTTAATAAGTATTTATAGTCGATAACAATGACGAAAGTATTTGTTGGCACTGTCTGTCTCTGTCTGGATTCAACATAGAACGTGGCACCGAAGTGTGCACCAGTTCGAGTTGCCACGTTCAAGCCGGACCACCACGTCAAGGTAGGAGCCTCCAAAGCCTCAGGATGGTCGGGGGTGGGTGTTTTGCGCTGCGGGTTGGCCACCCCTCCGTACACCTCTTGAAATGCTCCCATATGACTGGGCGTCTTACATAGCCTCTCCCGACGAAGTCCTACTCACTGCCTTCATGTGGCGGAGGTGTTTTTTTTTCACCGAAGTGAGAGGGCAAAAGCGGATGCCCCGCGCTCTTCACCGGGTTGACTGTCCATTGGATGACAGTCTAGGGGAGATGGCTAAACCCTGATTCCAAACCTCCAACGACTGGCGTATGAAGCTCACTGGAGTTAACCGGCAGACGTATGGACAAAGGGCTTATTGGATGTCCTGGATGACTGGCCCCATTCAAAAAGGCGTATGAACCGGACTCTGGTCACCGGCTGCCAATCGATAGTGGACTCCCTACTCCACTCCTACTGCCTTGTAGCTCACACTTGGTTGTGTAAAGGCTAGAGCTGCACTCTCAAAGAAAAGGCCGAGCGATGCTCGGGACATCACTCGTACTCAATTCCCATGAAACTTCATGGTTCATGAAGCCGGCTCATCCTCCCGTAGGAGATAGCCGAAGTAAAGTAAAGTAAGTAAGTCAAGGTCTGTCTGTCTGGATTCAACATAGAACTTGGCACCGAAGTGCACCAGTTCGAGTTGCCACGTTCCAAATAGCACACAGAGGTAGACAAGAAGATGAGTGGAGAGAATCAATACAGTCTGACAAGTATAAGAGTGAAACAGAATGGGTAATGGTAGAAAGGAATATGAAAGATTACAGAGGCTGAATACATCTGCGCCATTGACAACGATTTTGAGCCATGTCACCTATTGTCTTCAGCCATTGATTCCTAGAGTCCCGAGGGCCCCAACCCGGGAGTCTGCATCTCCCTACCTGACTCAGTTTAACTGTCAAGGATTTCATGGATTGATGAGGCCATGTTTTTGTTTGGCCACCACTGGCTCTTTTCCAACCTGAACCTATGTCAGCTAGCAATGCCCGTCGGGGGAGGCGGTGGTTAGGCATGCGCAGCACGTGACCTAGCCATCTTAGTCTATGTAACTTTATAGCCTCGTCGATTGATTTTCCCTCTTTGCCCAACACTCTACGCCTAACGTCAACATTACTTATCTTATTAAACCACCTAACGTGAGACAGGGATCGCAGACATCTATGATCGAAAGCAGTTAACCTTTTCATGTCTTCAACGCGTATTGGCCATGTTTCAGAGCCATAGAGAAGGACGGAGCGAACTGATGAGCAGTACACACGTCCCTTGGTTGATAACCGGATGTCACGCCTACGCCAGAGATGGTGTAAGTCAGCGAAAGCAGCTCGAGCTTTCCGGATCCGTGCTGAGATTTCATCGCCAATCAGTCCGTTGGTGCTAATACAACTTCCCAAGTAGGTGAAGTGGTCAACATGTTCTATCACTTCACTCCCTATCACTAAGTTAGGGGTTGACGTGGTCCAGTCCTGTAGCAGCATCTTACATTTTATAGGGGCGAATCGCATGCCAAACATACGAAGATTGCTGCTCAAGGTGTTCAGAAGACTCTGCATTTTTTCAGCATCCTCCCCTAACCGGACTATGTCATCTGCATATTCTAAGTCCATTAGATTATTCCCTGGTAACAAGTCGATTCCTAAGTCACTACGTTCAGTTAAGGATACTTCCGTTAGCATATCTATGACGAAGTTAAACAGAAATGGGGAAAGTGGACATCCCTGTCGGACACCACTGTTTGTTACCAATTCAGATGACAATTCCCCATAAGCCCTTACACGACTACGTGAGTTTGAATAGAGTGCCTTGATTAGTGCAATGTACTTTCTTGCAACTTTCGGTCGGGATTTGTTGGCACTAACTATTTCGCTATCATTATTTTTTATTTGAGTTCCTATTGGAGCATAGGGGGTACACCTCCACTTCACCCTGTCATCTGTAATCTTTCTTAGCTGGCTGGCTCCACGACTGCCCATAAGCTTACACCTTCCCCTCCTCTTCACATGATCTCTATGTCATCCTGGTAGCCAGGCCTAACTCGCCGTCTTCCATTCGGGTTTCACTCCTGGGCTTAGCAATGACTGTTGCAACCATATTATAAAATAACTGTGATATCAAATCATTAAATATTTCCTTTTATAATATTAGAACAAGACACATAAGCGAACAATATTGTTTTCAATTAGATCTTCATCAGGCTTTACTCTAATTTACATAGACTTATATATAAAAAATTTTAACCAATGACTGTGATTTTGTGGATCAAATATGGTGCAGACTGAACTGTATCAGTCAAGTTTGTAATGTGGCCACACCATGCATGCTAGGTGACTCACCATCACTGTGTACTCTGAATTGTTGTCCAATCATCAGAGTATCCATTACATTAGATAAGTAATAGAGAAAACCGATTCTTATTTTCGTGATGTTGATGATACGCTTATTATTCTTGATGTGAGAGCTGACAAGAATAAAATGTTAAAAAAGTTTAATTATGCACATCCATCGCTCATCTCCACTTATGAAGAAGGATACGATGGTAGACTACATTTCCTTGACGGCCAATTGGGCAGAAGAGAGGATGGTTCACTCAAGGGAGATGTCTATAGAATAGCTACATCTGTAGAAAAATATACACATTCCCCCAGTTTTGTACCAATCCGATACAAAATCAATTTGGTCAGATGCCTCACGAATAGAGCAAGACGTATCTGTACAGATGACTCCCTAGAAAATGAGCTAGGATACATCCAAAATACGTTGGTCCAAATGGGTTATCCGAGTAGATTTGTAAGGAGACACATGAATACCAGGTACAATAAAGAAAAACTGACAACAGTTGAAAAAGAAACAACTGTTCATGAAACTGCAATTTAATGGGGACGTGGCTAGCGAAGTCGTACATCAGAAATTATCTAGAGCTATAAAACGGACTTATACTGCAGCCACCCTCTGTTTGTCATTTTCCAGCCGACCAATTTTGATTGCTCAAGTGAAAGACAAGCAACCTAGCTGTGCCACTTCCATGTGTATCTATAAATTTAGTTGCTCCTGTGGAGAAAGCTGTATAGGCCGAACAACTAGACAGTTTAACAAGCGCATTAATGAGCATCTTCCTTCATGGTTCGGAAAAGGTCACATAAAATCTATAAGAAGTTCTATTTTGGCTCATTTGATTGATAGTGGTCACCAATTGGAAAAAAATAGTGCCTTCAAAGTTATTTACCGCATTCCATCAAGTCTTTCGAAGGGAATCAGAACTTAGCAGAAGAAACTACGGGAATGCGAGAGAACAATCCTAGTCTTTGTATACAAAAGAAATTTGTTCTACCTTTGTTTCTCCCTTGGCCTAGGTGAATTCTATTCAAAACCCTCCCACCCTTTCTTATCTTCCATCTCCTTCGTACTTTTATGATATATTTATCTAAACTCTGATTATCGTTCCATTTCGCCTTTTAAGATTTGACCTAATTTATTTATATATTGAATTGTCTACATATACACATATATACATATACTACCTTTGTTATTGTTATCGCCACCTGCATAAACCTTATTATCAATATTTTGTTATCATTATAATCATCGTTATTAACTACGTTCAAAACATTTACCACATTATTATTATTACTTGATCCACAAAGTCGCCGTCATTGGTTAAAATTTTTTATATATAAATCTATGTAAATTAGAGTAAAGCCTGATGAAGATCTAATTGAAAGCAATATTGTTCGCTTATGTGTCTTGCTCTAATAACTGTGATAGTCAGTTTTATACCACATAATCTTCGTTCGCATATGTTCTTTTTATTACCGTTACGCTTCTTTTCTGTCTTCCTTTCATGCTTTCTATATTGTGTTCCGCGCGAAAATCTTTTCATGCCTCCTCTTCACTACTTGTAATCCGTTATTCTGCTGTTCAGAATTCTCGAAGAAGAGAACATCACGCACACACAATATACTACACACAAAATCTTGTCACTAGCACACTCTACACACGTCCCCCTGTCAAACAGTCTCGAGCGGAGTTGTTCCAATCATCTTGGTGCCACCTGCTCATGTCGCATTTTGATACCAACTTCTTTATCCCAATTTATCCATCTCTGACGTTGTCTGATGTGAATATGTTTTTGTTTGTCGCCTCACATGATAATATCGACTGGATCATGTCTCTTGTTGATAGAGTATGGTTCTCCGAACTTTAGAAACAGTTTCCGTGAAGTTGTTCCATCCTTAAGAGTGTAATGTAGTTTCTTTCTCTACACTTGACCCGTTCTCTCAATTAAAAAGTTGTCCATGTGTTCTTTTCTCCCTCTCTCTCTCCTCGATTTTCGTAGCTTCAATCTTTTGTTTTCCTTGCCATCTCCTTTATGCTCCACTGTTGGTGATGTAGTCAGGTTTCGTTGTGTATTCTCAGGTGTGGTTTCCTAACATACATCAAACGAAATAATAACTTCTTTGTTTTTTTCCTGACTGGAAGTACGATGTTAAAACCAGTCGCTTCTTCAGTGTGTGATTATTTCTCTCTGTCAAAACACTTTTGTGGATGATATGATGTCGTGTTAATCCTCCCCGTCAGCTATCTTTCGTCCGTTACCCTTTCCATCTACAAGGGAAACATTTGTCAGTTTACTTTACTATTGTTCGTATTGCTGACATCTGTTACCGCATTTTTTTTATTCTGTCAGAGGCAGTGACACCAAATGTAACTGCAGTATTATACATGGTGGTAGTATTCAGTGACAGAGTTATATATATTTAATTTCCTCAAATTGTGATTTGTAGTTATGGGGAAATTCAGAAACCTTTTACATTGAATTCC